CCCCCCCCCCCCAGTATGATTCCTGCATTGACCCTTTTATCAAGGCTAAGCTCCCACAGCCCTAGCTGGTTTGGCTCAGTGGTAGAGAGTTGGCCGATTCCAGCCAAGGGCATGTACCTGTTTCAGGCTCAGTCCCTGGCCCCTGTCCGGCATGTGCAGGAGGCCACCACCATCCACGTGTCTCTCTCGCATCAGTGGGAACCCCCCCCCCCCAAAAGCAGGGGGGAAGATATGCTCGGGTAGGAGTAAAGAAAAGACTGAGCTCCCACAGAAACAGGCTCCCGCATCAGGGTAGTTTTTCTCACCCTGCCAGGGGCAAGTCTGCAAGTCCCGCCACGTGGCAAAGGGATTTATTACAGAGAAACACACTTTGCACTACGTGGTCACACAGCACTTTGAAACATTTCTATTGAACCAAAGATATAAAACTAGGAAATTACCAAACTATCTCATTAGATAGAAACTTTCCAGGCATCCTGGGTATTTTTCTGAAATCCCTTCTAAGGACTAAGATGACAGAGTTGAAGCTGTGATCGCTGGAAACAGGAGCTCCGTCGCCCGCCTCTCCCCGACGGTAGGTGAACAACATGGAGGCTCACCCGGAGGCCGGGACCGCTGCCGGGGCGGCCGCTGAATCTGCAGAACGCCCAGGAGTGTAAAGGCCTGGGCGCAGGTGCACCGGGAACGGCCAAAGGGCCTGGAGACCCACGGAGCCCGCGGGGCGCGGGCGGAGGTGCTGCGGTCGCGCTGTTTGCCGGCAGCAGCTTCGCCGTCGGGCCCGGGCGCGTGCAAGGCTGCGGCTCACCCTCGGGACCGGCGGCTTTCCGGGCATTTCACGCATCTGGCGCACGTTTCAGGTCGCCGCGCCGAGCGCGATGCTCCGTCACGGAGCTTCCCGGTCAAAGCGGAAAAGGCCTTTATGCGGCGCGCGGAGACTGCGCCACCCGCACGGCGTCTCCTAGGGGGGCCCCCGCCCCCGCGGGCCTAGCCTTCGCCGCGGGGTGGTCGCCGCAGACCACGGGGCGCT